GCCCCCTCGCTCCGGCCCCCCCCAGCCCTGGCCCCCACGAGACGCTCCCGCCCTCCCCCCCAAGCTTGGCCCCACAGAGACCCCCCGCCCCTCCCCACAACTCCCTGGGACCCTCCCAGCCTGGCCCCACAGAGACCCCCGTCACCCCCCACACAGCTCCCTGGGACCCCCCGCCTCCCCACCCCCAGCTCCCGACCCCACAGACACCCACTGCCCCCAGCCCCACCCAACACCCCGAAGACCCGACCGCCCCCCCACAGCTAGCCCCCCCCGGAGCTCCCAAGAACCCCAATATCCCACCCCACCCAGCAGAACCCCCCAAAACCCACCTCAGCCCCCCCATCCTGCCTCCAGCTTCCTCCCTCAAGCTACTGCACCCCCGAGTCACCCCCAGAGCCAGCCCAGGGATGCAGGTGCTAAGTGCTAACCCTGCCACGACTCCCCATACACATGCTGGGGCCGACCTCCTCTGCACCCTAGTGCCACACACAACCCCCCCCAGGAGCCCAGAGACCCCCCCAATCTAACACCCCACTCCACAGCAGGGCCTGGAGCCATGGGCTCCAGCCACCCACCCCAGCACATACCTACTTGCCTCCCCGCAGGGCTGTGCAAGATACAGCCGCTTCCAGGGTCCCCCACAACTACTCCAGCTGCCCCCTCCCCACTGTGCCCCGATACACCCCAGAGCCGAAAACAACACCCAACAAGCCGATAGGTGGGGGTGCAACCCTTAGTCCTGTACGTTTCCCAACAGCCCCTCTCGGTGCCATCTGCAGGCACCTGTCCCCCATGCTCCCTCTGGGCCAGCTGAACCCCCTGGGCACCTCCCCAAACCACAACCCCCCACTGGGCTGCACTGTGACCCCCACTGCCCGGCGCCCACCCACTACCAACCAAGCTCTGCCGAAGGCTCACGCCCATGCCACATACCCCATCCCTGCACGTGCCCCCCGAGCTCAGCACAAAACATGGGGAGCCCATGCCACGCTCCCTAGGAGTGTCACCATACTGGGGCCCTGTAGAGCTCAGCTGGGCCAGGGCCACGTGACGGGGACCAGGACCCCACTCCCAATGCCAGCTCCCACTTGAGGACACTTTCCTGAAGGTAGGTCCTGGGGGTCGGAAGGATCCTCACAGAGAGGGATCCAAGGCCATCCCATTGCACCAGGGTAAGGGGCTGCCCCAGGGGTAAGCACGTGATGGGACAGGAGAGGAGAAAACTAAGGTTCCATTCCCCTCTCCCCTCAACATAGCATCTCTGCCTTGGGGGACAGGCTGGGGTTGTTGCTGGGCAACGACCTTGCATCCAGGTTGCACAACATTACTGATGGGAAAACAGCCGGGAGCAGGGAGCCAGCAATGTGATGGGCCACAATGGGGGTCGAGGAGCACCCCCTACTCCAGGGCTCAGGGATTCAAATGCACTCAGCTTAGGGCCTCAGTGGGCAAACCGCAGAGTTAGGAGGGTGCCAGTGATCTGGCTTGGCCAGCCAGTGACTAAGGAGGAAGGCAGCAGGAGCTGCAGAATCTCGGGTTCACGTCAAAGAGGTCCTTCGTCATTCTAGGGAGCCATGGATTCACACACACAGAGAGGAGTACGCACTTCTGTCCCCTCAGAGCCATGCAATGTGCTGCAGCTACCAGGGCCCTCAGGTGTCAGCCTCGACTTGGCCCAAAGATCATCCTCCCTCCTTCCCCGGTGCCCTCGCTTGGTCTGAGCTGTGCACACACCCTGCTGCTGTACAGAGCCTCCATCCCCTGCCACGCTGCACAGCACAGCCTGCTGCACCCCGCTACTCCCCATCACCCACGCCAACAGCCCTGCAATGCTGTGCAGGGCTCTGTCCTGGCCCGTTTGGGGGAAGAGGCCGAGCAGGTGGGTGATGTATGCCAAGCAGCTCTGCCCACCTGCTGCTGTGGCCCAGCAGTGACCCAGCAAGGGCCTGCCAGTGCCCCTCAGTCCCAACCCACGAACACCTGTTATCCCTGACCTGGGGCTTTCCACCCACAGCACTACCAGTGCTCCTCACTCCCGACCCACAGTCCCCTGCAATCCCTGGCTGGGCTCCCCACACAACTTTCTCAGTGCCCCTCACTCTGGACCCGCAGCCCCGTTAGCCCAGCCCTGGGCTCCCACCCACAGCTCTGCTGGTGCCCCTCACTCCCGACCTGCAGTCCCTTGCTAGCCCAGGCCTGGGCTCCACCCACAGCTCTGCCAGTGCCCCTCAATACTTTTCCCCTCTAGGGAAAAGGGGCCTTTCCCCTCACCGGAGCTGCCCCTGCAACACACAGGCACCAAACTGGACCCTCTCCCCAATCCCAAAACGCCCACTGAAAATATCTGTGATAGGATCTTTGGCTGACATCTCCCAGATCATACTTGTAACGGGGCTCCCCGCCTACCAGCCCTTCCCCTCTATACTGCGGACACCCCCTGGGTGCACATGGGGCCTACTTGCTCCTATTCACCATGGGAAGGGAAGGATTGAGCTATTACCAGACACAAGGGAAGAAGAAAACTAGAGACAAGCCATAGTGAGACAGGGGTTCTGAACCCAGCAGAGAGGGGCTGAGGTGATGTTGCAGGCATCCCACATCATCCGTGCTATCTCCCCACCCAATACAATAATATGGGACCAACCTGAGTGGATGCCCCTCAACATCTAACCAACCCCACCCCCACCAGCTGGGGGCTTCCAGGCCCTGGAGGGGGTGTGGAGGGGAGGGGGTATTTCACTCCAGAGGGAAAGCTGGGCAGCACCCTCCCAACAGAAACCTCCCACAAGGGGCAGCACACTGTATCCTCTCCCTGTGCCCCCCCAGATCAGCACAGCACAGATGCACCAA